CATCAAGCAGTTCATCACACAATCCACCCATGGTAGCACATCCAACAGATTTACCAATACCTACATCATCAAGCTCATCAAGTAGAAGAAGTAGTAGCGCTTCTGCTTCTGGTTCAGCATATCCAACAAATAAAAATAACAAATAAGTTAATATTTTTTAATAGTAAAATCATTTTGGAACCACCATCAGTATTTGCCTCGTTTCACTGTTGGTGACAGGTATCCTTTTTGGAACACCCCGTTCTTCTCTCTTCTTTTGTTGTCTGAGGCGGTCTCTGTCCCTCAACTTTTGTGCATATTCAGGGTCTTCTCTTCTCCTTTTCTTTTCGTAAAGCGCCTGAAAGATTGACATCTGCACTTTAATTTCATCCAGTGTTAGGTCCGGTCTTCAATGTTTAATTGAGTAGTCATTATATCTTAATGTATATAGTTAATATGTCTTTATATATATTCCATGTTAACGATACTAAATAATAAATAGTTTATAACATTAAATGGTTTTTGTTTTAAAGCTTTAAGCTTATTATATATCAATATAAAGTATTATATGACAAAAAATATCTATAGAAAAAACATATTACCAGTTTAAGGAACATAAGAGACAGGAAAAGAGGCAGGGTTGACACTGCTACACGTCCAAAAATCAATACTGTTATTGACCTTTATGAGGACAGGAAGATTGTCCAACATGGCACTGCTGAAAAATTGATAAAAGGTGTCACTGCAACCAATGACAAGAACCTAAAGAAGGGAGTGAAAGCCTTTGACAAAGCAAGAAAAAATATGAAGATGCGGTACCAATAGGTGAAAGAGAGAAAGTAAAAAAGGCAACAGAACAGGCGGTAGTAGGAAGAACAAGGGCAGTAGTAAACAGGAGAATTAGACAAAAAATTAGCCCAGAGGCACTCAAAAAGTTCTCAGACACGCTCACCAAAACCTTCAGAGAAAAAGTGTTAGCCAACAGAAAGCTGTATGTTGTCAAATACATGCTTTTTTCAACTGATAATAGGTCAGGTGCAAAGAACAACAGTTTTATAAATGATGGGCGCAGATACTATCCAATAGTGGTACCAAACAATGTAAGGACAGGAAATGTCAAAGCTCAGAAGTTCATAGAGAGTATGGTCAAGGTAAAGGTGAACAGGTTTTCTGACAGAGCAAGGTTCAAAAGAATGATGGCTATAATGAGGACTGATAAATCGTTTGAAGAATTGATGGAGGGAGAGTTTTATCATTATGTAGATTTATTAGGATTGAGAGTGCTGAGCTGATTGATGAAGATGATGCCAACTATGACATCTTCGCTGATGAACTCACCAACTCAAAAACAAATGTGAGCATTTTCAATCAATACATTCAAATTGAAGTGAACCCAGACTGTTTAAGGTTCAAGGATGCTATCAAGAAAAAAAGGCCATATTGAAAATGAATGTTGGATGAATACATTGCTAGACCATTATGCGGATAGCCTGATGAGACATAAAAGGGGGAAGCTGGCTAAGAACCTGACCAGAGAAGCCATAATAAAATTAATTAGGAAGGGTGATGAAGAGTTTAAAACGAGAGGGGCATCAATATCTAACATGCATAAGGTCTTCAAAGAATTCAATATTAAGGCTAGATTATATGACATTGATGGCAAACAGATTTACAGACATGACCCCGAAGACTTTAACAGCTGTAGAATTGCAACCTTCAATGCTTTAGTCAAAAACAGTCAGGTATGCACACTAAATCATAGTTTAGAAAGCCTGAAGGCTAAAACTAAAGATGAGAACCCCAACAACCTGAAAATTTGCAACAACTACTTTATCAACAACAAAAAGGAAGCAATGAAGTATAGGATGATAGAATCTATAGATGACCTGCTTAAAATGAATGAAGAAGATGAATATAACATGATATTGAAGGATAATGATTTGGATAAATTTATGTTTGATTTAACGCAGGCTGGGTATGAACCATTGATTAGATACGGGGCAGGCAAAGTGGTGAATGTCAAAATGAACCTGACATTTAAGATAGGTAAGAAGCAGAAAAAAGATGATTACACTATAGTGAGTCAAGACTTAAACACAAACAAGATTGATGAAGACATAGCAGTAAATACAGAGGAGAAATATAACAGAGTTAGTGATGAGATGTTCAAGTTTCATAAGAGACTTATTTCTGAAAATCATAAATCAGACTACAATGAATCCGATGTAAAAATATTGGATGAGAGCAGGACAATAGTAGCAAATGGTCAATTCAAATTGATGACAATAAAGAATGGCTACCTACATCATGACCGTATAAGAGATAGTGAGACATGCAGTATTGACAAGAGGAAGCATTCACTCATTCAGCCAGTGAGATTCCAAACATTCCTGTCTTCGGGGAGTTTGATATTTGGAAGCCCTATGATTTGGAATGTTATTCTTGAAATCTGGGCGATTATACACTGTATTTAGTTCAGGCATGTCATGGAAACATATTCTTTAACAAAAAGTTTAACTTGGTTTATGGTTTGCATCTGAAGAAGTTAGCCAAGAGAGGAGTAGTTATGACAATATTATACTATAAGACGCCTTCTCATGTACACAAGGTGAAGTATAAGAAAGCCATTGAATAATTATATAATGCAAAAATCAGTGAAGATTAAACTTCAAACAATATGATTAAGAAGACCATTGCAAACATTACCTTTGGTCTACTAGAAAAGGGCTACAACAAATTAAATAAGAGCAAGATTTTTGATAGTCTTAAGGAGGCACTCTACTATCAGAACAAGTATGGGGGCAAAATCTATACCTTAGATGATGTTGAATATGAAGAGGTGGATGGGCGGGGTGACCCCAAAGAAAGAAACAGAACAACCAAACATTACTAATTTCAGGACAGAAGCAGTTAATGAACGGGTTTCGGTATATTAAATAACTGCTGTTGCAAAATCATAACTACAGTATGTATGATGCAATGGAGAGGCTTAAAGAAAAGGGCATCAACGTATATGCTATAAAAACTGATGCACTACACATAGCCAAGACAGACTTAAAGAAGGCTAGAAAGATACTAGAGTTTGGAAGGGAGATTGGCAACTGGAGAGTTGAACAGATGATGGTAAAATATTCTTCTGGCTGGTATGCATGGAAATATAATGAGTTGATAAAAAAGCCGGCGTACAAAAATGAAAGTATTGAAGTAGAGGAGGAATGGAACACATAAGAGATATGTGAACACATAATCAGAAAGAAGAGGGTGATGATTAGAGCCAAATATGCAGAAAGTGGCAAGAGTTATATAGGCAAACATCTGGAGAAGATGGGCTACAAAACTCTATTTATAGTTCCTCAGAATATGTTAACACAGGATATTGAATGTGAAGCGGTGACATTGAATGTGTTCTTTGGCATTGGCATTGATAAAACAAACAGCCTACCAAAGTATGATTATTCAGGGTTTGATGCAATAGTCTTTGATGAAATCTATATGTCTTCACCTTTCATATTGAACAAGATAAGGCAGTTTACCCTGAAGAATCCTAATAAAATTATCATTGGAGCAGGTGATGTCAAACAACTTCCAAGCATAGAGCCTTATACTAACTGTCAGAATGTTGAAGAATATGTTGATAATTGTATTGACATACTATTTAAACATAACATCTTTTTAAAGACATGTAAGAGAGCAGGGGGCAAAGACACTGAAGCAGGTGAGAGGAACATATATGATGACCTTTGGATTAAAGACATGAAGATTTCAGATTGGGTAGCCAAGCATTTTAAGTTTACAACTGATATTATGGTGAGTGAAAACAACATAGCTCATACCAACATCAGGTGCCAAGCTCTGGCACATGAAGTCAGAAAGAGACTAGGCAAGAAAGATAAATATGAAGCAGGTGAGATTTTGATATGCAGACTTTACAGACATGAAAAGGAAGGAAAGTTTAATGTGAATATCAGGTGGAAGATTTTAGAAGTGAAGGGTGGAATGATAAAGATACAGGACATTAAGGATGAAGAAAATATAAGAGTTATAAGTGAGAAAGTGGCAGACAAGCATTTTAAATATGCATATTGTGACAGGGGACATCAAAAAGCGGCAATATAACAATACATGAGTGGCAGAGAACAGAGTTGGTGAGCAACGAGTGTTTAAAATTTTAAATCATCTGGAAATCTGGTGATCTCTGAGAACAGTCCTACGATTTAAATTTTTTAAATTTTTTAAATTTTCGGAGGCTCCGAAAAATTTAAAAAATTTAAAAAATATAAAAGATTGCGATTTAAATTTTTTAAATTTTTCGGAGCCTTAAAAAATTTACAAAATTTAAAAAAATATAAAAGATTGCGATTTAATTTTTTAAATTTTTCGGAGCCTTAAAACGTTTAAAAATGTAAAAAATATAAAAGATTGCGATTTAATTGTTTTAAATGTTTTAAATGTTTCAAGGCTCCGAAAAATTTAAAAAATTAAAAAAATTATATCGTAGGACTGTTCCTAGAGATCACCAGATTTCCTGATGATTTAAAAATTTAAAAAAATTAAAAAAAATTTTAAAAAATATAGAAATATAAAAGATTGCGATTTAATTTTAGAAATCTGAACATATCAGACGACAGCCCAATTTAAATATTTTATTTTTGATATAGTATATAATTATTAATCTATATATTTAATTATGTTAGCTTAAATTATCTCAAGGCAGACTGCGCGGCACATAGGGTATACTCTTCCCTCTTACGGGGGGGGCCCCCCCCTACACGTGAAGTTTTCACGTGATTCATGATTCTCGAGGCTGCGAGCCCTTCACTTGCTAAAGCAAGAGCAACTCCAGCTAGCTGATGCTAGCTTTCGTGATATAGATCTATAGTCTATATAGTATTTATTCAGGGGCAGTCGCAAGGGGTTCTCACATCTTTCTGCCCAAGGATGCCCAAGGTGTTGCAGCATGTTCTTCTTCTCCATGGGCCCCGGGGGGGGGTGTTGACAACTCATACCACCAGTCGAGTGGCAGGATGGATCTCTCAGCCACCAAAGGAAGAGCTCCTGAGTCCGGCGAGGACCCACAGAGGTGAAGAAAGCTGTGACCTGTACGGAACCGGTGGGTGATTCTTCCATTGGAGCTTCACAAGTCCCACATGGACGAAAGCTATATTTTAAATAGAGCATCGGTCAAATGTCAAACCCTGAACTTTTTGAGAGCATGGTCAAAAGGACAATGAGCTTTTTGAATCAGTAGAGCGATAGCTACATGCAGGTTTCACAAGGATCGCTGATGCAAACTGTTGCACGACACACAGTTGATGCACCCTAAGGCCCTAAGGACTCCCTTGATCTGCTGGCTGCCACTCTCATGTGCTTAAAACTTGAGTTGCCTCTTTGGACGCAAGTCTCATGACCGCTGGGACCTTTCCCCTATGTATGTTTTAACTGTTTTCCGACTGTTACTGGTAATGGGACACGCCCTACACACATCCTTCTTCCCTTCCCCTAGCCTTCAAAAACTATTAACAAAAGGTTGAAACGGTGCCGTACAGTAGTGTTGGTAAAACAAAGGTTCTTCAGCAAAACGTCATAGCACAACTGCAACCCATTAAACGCTCAGACTGGTGTTTCGAATCCTAGGGCTTGTGGGATTGGCTGCTGGACATCCTGATTTTGCTGGACGCTCAACCAGTTGAGTTGCCCCCCCCGAACAGAAAGGTCAAGCCAAGAAACTACTGTCCCCATAGAAACCACTTAGCTCACCATACTTCCCGTATCTTCATCATCTTCCCGTCTTCAGCGAACCCACTCAAAAACACAGGCGCCTGGCTGACCACACCCGCCTACTCCTCCCGTGCCCACGCCCTACCCCCAAATCTGGCGAAGGCTCTAACTCTGGACCGTAACCTGCGACCATGCAGGCGAGGTCTTGTTTGCGATGTCAAAGCTCCAAATAAGTTCCTTTTGGTCAAGAAAGGCTCACCAATCCTGCTACCCGGTTTCCAAGTTGGTCATAGGCTGGTTGGAACATAGCCAGCCTACGGATTCCGGCAAGGGCAATCCCGATGTGGAAGCAATTGCCTTTTGAATCCTTTTAGACTCTTAGGTTGTTCCCAAAAGGTGAAAAAAACACAGGCTGGACATGGCTGGACCCTACGCCTGCAAAAGAGACATGAACACGCGTGGTGTATTGTGCTAGTAGTAGTATGGAAGGGCCATGGCCATAGCACTACATCGGGGCAGGCGGTGCTGATACCCATGCTTTGGGAGGGCTTGGTGATTCAAATCTCGCCTTGCAACATGTGGACCAATCGCCCAGGCAGCTCGTTTGGGACACGACTGGCCTACTGACTCACTGACTCAACACCTCCACGAACCCCACCAATGAGCGACCGTGGGTCATCGTCGCAGGTGGTCGGCGCCAAGGAGCCAATGGTGGTGGCGAGCAGGAACTCCCACCTGGGAGGCAAAGGAGATTCCTTGCGGGTCATTCAGGCCATCTGGAAGACAGCGAGGACGTGATCTTATGCTAGGTGAGAGATGTGAGTGTTGTTCAGGTGAGCGATCATTGAATCAGGCACTGTAGACTGACAACAAGAAAGATTGCTGTATTGGACACTGTTACTAACTATTTCACAAGTTGTTGTTGGCAAATTTAGGCCAGTCTATGTGGGCCATTGAAACTTACGGATCATACGGGTTGCCATTTTGTGGTGGTTTGGCAACGGATGTCCAGAAGCCTTTGATGGCCGATTGCTTGCGACACTGTTGGATGAACTTCAGGATCATTGGATGCTTGAAGCATCTTCGGAGCGTCCATGGGCCGACGACATCTTCAGATTCGGTTCGTAGCTGTCTAGCCCAGTCACGGCCCCTACCATCCGCTGTCCCCTGCATCAGTCTCGGAGAGGCCGACTTACTTATCCCAAAGGAGTTGGCGGGCTGTCAGTGGTGCCCAGCCAGGCCAGGAAGCGTCAGTCGGACTCAGTCGGAAGGAGAAACTTCGTCGTCAGCAACGCAAAGCAACACAAAAGCAAGAGCAACGCCTCTCTTCCATGGATGACTTAGAGGTTCATCAAACATCGTTACAATTCACGATGAAACTCATTGACACTAACTCCATCTAACTCCCCCAAAACGGCCCGTGAATCCTCAAATGGCCCAGCTTCACCACCCTTCTCGCAGCCAACGGGTGCCCTCCGAGTCACTCACGGAAGAGCTCCAGCGCCAAGGGCTGCGAAAGTGCCGTGACCAGCGTGGGGTCATCCAGCGCGAGGGTCGTGCGGTCCAGTGACCCGCCCTGGAGCCAAAGGGACAGGGAAATGTTTTCGAGATCCAGGGACTCCACCTCAGATCAGATCCAGCGCACGAGCTCGCGTGATCTTGCATGTAATAAGGGACACTGGGACATGGACCCAGGAGGCAGGAGGAGTCGGAGATTTCTCTTCGGACCCAGTGGAGCGATGAACGATTGATTGAAACCCGCATTGACCCCGCAGTGTGCGAACGTTGGAGCAGCTCATCTCAGGTTCCATGCTCAGCTTTCTGGCTTTAAGGGGTGGACCACTGTAGAACGAAGGTGGAAGGTGTAGAAACCGTCCGTCTCGAATACGAACCACCAACACCAAGCGCAACGTTGGCATCTCCGGCCTGGACGCACAGCGGCCCAACTGCCCCTCCACCCAACATGGTCTTAAACCCGCTACCGCTATTCCACCAATTCCGCTACCGCCGATGGGTTTTGATCCTCGAAATCGTTTCCATCGACACGTCGCGCGCAATCCGTGGCACTGGCATATTCACCATTGACCCCTTTTCAACCCCAACTGATCGGTCATGCCAGTCCCATGGATAGTCTGGGGTGTGGCCCAGTGGCATGGTGCCACCACATCCTGAGTGTTTCGCGACTGGCCTCCGCGACTGGCAACTATCTAGATTGCAGTCCTGGTGGATTGCAGGAACCAGGTATTCTAGGTCTATGGTTTTAGTCTTTGGAACCACTGGTTACCAGCTATAGTGGTAACTATATTATATAGATGCCCTGGGAAATGGTTTCTCCACCAATTCAACAATTGCTTCCCTCAAATCCAGGTAGCTTGGGGATGACTGGAATCCTTGGTGACCAGTGCAAGAGGGAAACGAAGACCTACGGACCTCCGCACATGTGCCAGTTGCGCGCAGCGCTAGTGCTGTGTCTGCAGTCGCATGCCTCTAGCTTGGCTCCATTTTGTGGCTCATGGAATGAATGGATTGAAAGGAACCTATCTTCGTGGCTCATTCCGTATACTAAGCACCGGTCAGTTTTGTGGAGCGTGTGACCAATATAAGTATCCACACGTATTGTAGGTCGATGCAGCTCGATCACACGCGTTGCTGGGAGAAGTCAGGGGCCTCCCGATCCGCCCAAATCACTGCATTCTTCAAGAGTTTGAGACCAGGATCTGAGGCAAGAAAAGCACATCCTGAGCTGGCAGAACTCAGGAAGCAAAGAAAGATCTGGTCTAAACTTGAAATTGCATACCCGCCCCCACCCCGAATTGCATGTTTAACAGGGTGGCCGCCACCTAAAAATACACACTCTTAAAACCTTCACCACCAGCTCTTGAGTCTGGGTTCTTCCCTTCAAGCATCCAAATCGGTACCAGGACCCAACTATCTTCTGCAAAAACGCTGATCCAGGATCTTTGGTTCTCTTGCCTTCAGCTTGGAATCCTTGCTGGTCTCCTTAGGAGCCCTTCAAATACTCTCGGACCCGCAGGTGGGGTATGCGTCCCTCAAGCTCATTTGCTGCTTCCCAATGTCCCACCGAAAAAGGATTCGCAGGTAGCACCAAACTCAAATATCTACGACGAAATGGAACTGTCTACGAGTCAGAAAGGGGGGTCTTGTAGTCCTCAAGTCAGTGGATGAGGGGCACCGACTACCTCACCTAACCTCTCCTTCCTCCGTTCGGAACCGGCACCCCAAGCGACATGTGACTCCTGGTCGGTATCTTTTGGTGATGACAGTGACACGAGCTGGCTTTTGTTGGTATCTTGGGCATGTGCACTTCTCATATGGTGGGGTCATGCTGGCATGGCTGGGCAGGATGTGACAGGATTGTATTCCTGGCCTTCCAAGGGGTGTCTAATGGAGATCGCTAAGTAGTGGGCTGGGGCTTCCGGCCAGGTGACCCCTTTGAAGGTGTTGGTTGACCAATCCGATCAAATCCGTCGAAATCCCTGTACTCCTGCTGCATATTAGCCCGCCAGAACGGCACCAGGACCTCAATTGCCGCAGAGTCACTCCTGCCTCCACGATTGCTTCGATGCCTCTGCGAGGTAGATGCAAATGACACACCAAATCTTGACCAGCAAAGCACCATCATGGAAGTTTCGCCGCATCCCAGGTTAAACAACAAATCTGCCGGAAGTCCTGCCTCCTCCAGGTACTGGAGAAAGCCATCTGTTCCAACATGTCGAATCCATTCATCCAACCCCTCGCAGTTGGCATCCCTGCGCCGTCGATCGACCCTCCGGCCCCGGGCGCCTTGTCCAAAGGCCGCAGAGCACTCGCCACGCCGGTCCTCCCGATCGAGGTCCAGCCGTGCACAGCGATCGCGTGGATGGGTCACGGGGAAAGGCTGCAAGCTGCTGGCACCCAGCAATGGAGGAAAGAGGATGAACCTCGAGGCGGACAAGGACAGGCCGGTGTTGGCTGGGGGTAGGTTGTTGGTAGGAAATGAATTAGGTCGGTCATTCTTCAATGTCAGGTGTCAGGGCCCATGATTTACTTGGAAGATGGTGGACCAAGGATGCTCGCTTTTGAAGAGGTGCCGGGCTGCTGCGACACTCTTCTTGGTAGCCGGAAACTCGGATTTCACCTGCAGGGCTCCATGGTAACCAATGGTAATATGGAGCCAAGACCTCCAGGACTCGCAAAGGATTGCACGGTTCGTCAGCCTCTGTGATGATTCCAGACTGGGAATTCATACTCAGGGTTTGGGTCTATCCTATTACCTGCAACAGTGGATGATGATGGTCAGGTTGCAGACCTTGCTCAAAGATGATGATCATTGATTACTGACTGTTACAGGTAAGAACGGACAAACCCTGAGTTGCGTAGGGTCCCCATACTGAGGGGTGTCCAATCATACTGTCCGCCACCTTTTTGGAGGTTCAGAAGTATCCATTCACCACCCCTTTTGGGGCTCCCCACCGGCCAACCCTAAGGGGCCCTGACTTGTACATGCTAGCTTATGCTAGCTTAGTACTCGAGAGTTCGGTCCAACCTGTTCAACAGCATAGCGGTCCAACCCGACCGTTCCACCGGCGGCGTGAACCCACTGGGAACATACTGCTCTCCGCAATGGCGGAAGGTGATTTGGATCTCCCTCAAGACATCTCAATACGGATCAAATTCCGGTGGATCTGAATGTAATGCACATCGAGAGAGAGAGAGAGAGACCTATAGGAGTAGAATGAGACCTCCGAAATCCGCCATGCCAAAGGTCCTTTTTGGACTCTTTGAAGCGAAGAGTTCGACTTCACCCAACCTCAGGGACCTCAAACACCTCGAGCGGAACAGCAACGAATGCCGCGAAAAAACGCCGCTCTCTCGAGCGCTCAACGCCTCGCCCGGCCTCTTCGCGCCAGTCACTTGGAGGAAGAGGTTCGGACTCTGATCCTCAACGAACGTCGGGTCGTTTTTGTTTTTTTTCTCGACGTGCAGCTGGTGGAAGCAGGATGTTGGGGGGGATGTTGGTGGGGAAGATGTGGAAAACACTTGCAATCCTCTTCTCTCTCCTGCAATCTGCTAGCTCTTTCCAACTGAAGCAGTGGTTGGATGACCATTTCCCTACTTTTGGGTGATGAGAAAGGGTTTTTGGCCGTGAGCCGACCCGCTCCGAACGATTCGGAGCCACAGGGCTGTTGGGTAGCCTTGGTTTCGAAAAAAGAACAGGTCAGTCAAGGAAAACAAATGGGTAGTAGGGAAAGAGTCATTGTTTCAGTCCAAACTTTCCAAGTTAGATCCACAGTCTGTAGGTGCATTAGGTAGGCCACAAGATGCGTTTCTCACAGAAAGGGCGCCTAGACTGGAAAACCATGGTAAGACGTTATCTTACTAAGGTGTTGAGTTGGACAATCCTGGATGCTTCACAGGTTTCGCATCCACTGGTCGTTGCGCTTCTTGAAGCTCAATCTCAAACTCATTACAACCCTGACCCCCTTGAATCCTAAACTTGGAGGCCTGGGACCATGCGGGCGGTCATTGTTCACAACGGTAAGCCTTTTATGATGAATGTAAAGGGGTGTCATAATTGACCGTCCCACACCTGCAACGAACATTGGACTTGTTAGTTCGATCTGCAACTGACCCTACAGCGGCTACAGCGTTTTGTGAACATGGTTAACGAGCACAAACTTTTGTCTGCCTGAAGTTCGATCAACAACCAAACCCAGATGCTCCCCAAATTCCCCGAAACCCTGATGAAAACCAATCCAATCTTCTTCAGCCCCCAATCCTTTGGCACCTCACGCGGGTTTTCGCATTTTTCGGAGGCGAAGCAGGGTGACAAGGCCTAGGCTCGTAGTGGCAGGCCGTGACAATGCCTTTGGCGCCGCAGAAAAGCCTTGGATGTGAAGAAAGGTGTCAGCGATAAAGAACAACTTTGGGTTCCCAATCAGTGTGAGATGTAGTCAGTCAGTGGTCCCCCAATGGCCCAAATAGATAGAAGCACTGCTGCTAAATATTACAGAACCCATGTTTTTTCCAAGTTTAGGGAACCTATTTTCCATGTAATACATTTATAGGTCTCTGATAGGTCTTTGCAATTCTGTCTTCCACAAGTGTCGGTCAATTGTTTGGCAATTCTTATAACCAATTCAATCATCAAAAACCGTCCCTGCAGATTCGCCAAACTGATGTTGAACTCAACCTAACTCAACCATCTGTTAGACTGGCCGACTGGTTAACACAACTGGCCCAAACGAAAAAGTCAAACTTGCCCAAAGCCCAAAACAGGGATGATCTAGGCGTGCGTCAAGATGTGGATGACCTAGTCACAGTCAAGTCTAAGCAGCATCCTACACCTTGATCCATCAGAATCCTTGCTCTCCATGGCAGTCGGACCCTCTCCACCTAAACGCAGGAGTCTTTTTTCCTCGTGCCCTTTACAGGCCCATTGGGCTCAGATTCTTAAAGGTTCAATGCCGGAAAATTGCGGGCTGACCCACTCCTAGGTCCGTTCGACCCATACCAAAGGCCGTGACGAAAGGCTTGAGTTCTTCATCCAAGTTCTCAAGAAGCTCTTCATCTTACCCCGCTAGCAACTCGTCAGCGACCTTCTTATAAGGGGATGACTTCGAATTTCTTTCCGCGTAAAAAGCTCGCGTCCGAACCAAACGCGGCTCCTCCTTCGTCCTGGGAGCTGAAGCTTCTTCAAGGTTCCCAGCTCCTCCGAAAGCTGCCTGCCACGCGGCGTCTCGTCCGAGCGACGAAGAGCTCTGGGCGGCGCGTGTGGCAACACCACGCAACAAGAAGGTGCGCAGCTTTGCGCCAAGCGACGCGATCCGCATGCTTCATTTAGAGACGTGTACAGAAATATACATCTGCGCACCCATCTACAGAACAATTTTAGGTGGGACCCACATCTTAATACATATAAATAGAGAAAAAACACACAAAGCTGATGTTTGTGGCAATTATGCCCAACTGCTGTAATCAGTCAGGACACTCCCATCTAGCTATTCTAGGCTTCATTTCACTCCAGTCGTCTTGTCAATGGTGATATATGGTGATCCCATCTTTCGCATGGCGCGGCCTGATGGTCTCCCAGCGCATGGCGTCCAGGTCAGCTCGAAGCCTGGACGTGCTGCGCTGAAAGGACAAATAGGTCCACCTCAACATGTTCCAGGCCACGCCCCTCCCCGGGCCGATCCGCTTTGGACTCTGAACCACTCCGTCACCTACGCCTCAAGCCTCACGCCAACCGCCCGCCCGCCTCGTGCCCAAGGATCCTTCCTGGCACCGCCGGTGGCGGGGTCCAGCGGGTCGGGGCTTGGTTTGGAGGGACAAACCCATGGTGAGGGGGAGATGCTGCTTATAAGTGCTTCAATACAGTACAAGACATATAACATCACTAACATCACTCTATCAACGAGCAAGTGGTGAAGTAGAACTCGTTGTAACACTGCAACTGTAGCACGAAGCAGCACCCTTTTGAAGGGAACATGTGGGATGCTCCTTCAACAGTCGCCCTGCGGTGCAGCTTTGGCTGCCATTTCTCCATCTCTTTATGGGTGTTTGTCCCAACTCGCCAACACAGTGATACACTGACAAACTGAATGGTTCTATAGATAGACCAGGTCTTGACTAAGCTAGCCTTTTTGACATGCTGGAAGTTTATCATGTTGGCTCCTCACGCCAAAATCACAGACTCTTAGACCATAGACCTCATCTACTACAGTACCTCATCTTTGTCCATAGTTTTGTTTGGAGAAACCGCACCTACGAAAAACTGATACAAGTAGAGTAGTTCCAAATGCCCAAAGCAGGCACCACCCGCCTAGAACCGAACAAACAAAACCCCTGGCAGCCAATCACCTACATCGTCTGGCAGAAGTGGTTTCGAACTCTTGGATGTGCAGGCTTCACTCGTGCGAGCACCAAAAAAAACTCGAGGCTTTGCCTGAACAAAGGGGTGCCCATCGGAAACGGACGTGCTTGTAACTGCAAGTGCTTGTAATTGCACAGACTCTATCGTTTTCCCTATATAGACTTGGTTAATAGTTAACCTTTTTCCACCTGTTGGATTTGAGCGGCAAAACCCATTCCCCCACTTGACTCGTTTTGCACCGTGATCCCTCCTTTCTGGCGAAAGAGACCAACCTCCCGGCGAAAAAGGGCCTGGAGGTCTCAGCCTTTCCATCCGGGTCCCTGCAGTGTCCCTGCGTCGTCCGAGCTCGATCCTGTCCTGCATGGTGCCACCCTCCACCGTCCGCAGCACCGCCCACAAGTAGAGCGAACCGTCGCCTGAACGACGCAGGAACTCGGCCAATGACATCGGGCTGCAAAGCTGGTGGTGGGCGGAGGCGTCGCTGAAGCAGGTGTCTTTGGACCTGACGTCCGATCGGATTGGATGAGTGGAGAAGATTGGCAGGATCAACGTTCACAATAACTGGGTCATCCTGTCTGGGTGTCCAATGGGTAACCCTACACAATATATGTCTCCGTGGAGTGTTTGAGCACTTTCAATTCTTGCACTCTCCCCTACGAAGTGGAGCCATGACGACCCAAGAATCTTCCATGTTCACTGAGATCATATGAAATAATCCTGGAATATTGGAAGTGAAAAAGAATTGAAAACAACCTGTTTGTAGAGGAAATGGTCATCCAAGAGGCCATCTTCCACTTCCATGATTTCAACCAGCACTGTCCCTAAGATTCAGCTGGGGGGAGGAGCAGGACTCCTTCACTTTTGCTGTGCCAAAGAAACGCAAAGCACTTCATCTCCATCTGAGGCGCTCGTCCGCGTAGTGGAACGTCTGCTGCTCCGGCCCCGCGCCGCGGCGCACGCCCTCCACGAGCACGTCACCCGCACGGGCGCCCAACTGCTCGAAGCTCCAAGCGGCGCCCGCGGCCGGACACAGCAGGTGCCGCGCGAGGCCGCGGAGGACGACTGGACGCCTCGGAGGTACTGGAACCTCCATGTCGGACGTTGGATGGGGTGGAGTTGGGGTGGATTTGGGGGTGGATGGATGGACGGAGGGTGACTGCAAAGTGGTGGGGATGTAAACTGTTCAAAGAAGCATCCAAAAAACACATCATTTAATGACACCATCCCCGCCCCCCTGATGAATTCGTGTTTGGCATCCAAATGGGTTTTGTGGTTGACTCTTAGTTCAAGCGTCTACCATGAAAGGAGAGCACCTCCGACAAGGAGAGCACCACAAAAGGTCGACGTGGTCGATACAGCATATTCAACGATCCAGGAGACATTCATTCTCCTTCTTGAACTGAAGGTCTCTGCGTTCGTCTAACAGTTTCATCCTACATTCGACAAATCCTGTCCGAATCCAGCTGTACTCACACTTTGTGACAGCAACACTCTTCTGTGATATGTTTGCAGTTGGCAAATGAAAGACACTCTCCACACCAAAGAATGGCATCCTCCAAAGGCATGAGTTCCAATGTGTGTGACAGTGTCCGGGATGCTCAATCTCGCCAATTTGCGGCAATTGTCAAAGGCATTGTTGCCAATTTGTGTCACAGAGTTTGGGATGGTCAAGCTTGTCAAAGAGCT